AATTTACGCACTAACCACTAAAGCCAATGACAATGAAATAGAAGAATTCTACCAACTTCTTCAATCTGAAATTGATCAAACATGCAATCAAGATATATTGCTCATTACTGGTGATTGGAATGCAAAGGTTGGGAGCAAAGAGGGAAGGATTAGTAGTTGGAAAATATGGCCTTTGTGATAGAAATGATGCTGGAGAACGCATGATAGAATTCTGCAAAACCAATGATTAGTTTATTTTTAAAAAATACCTTTTTTAGACAGCATAAGAGATGACTATACACATGGACCTCAACAGATGGTATAGATAGAAATCAAATTGACTACATATGTGGAAAGAGACGATGGAAAAGCTCCATATCTTCAGTGAAAATAAGGCCAGGGGTAGACTGTGGAACAGACCATCAGTTACTCATATGCAAATTCAAACTGAAGCTGAAAAACATGAAAACAAGTCTACTAGAGCCAAAATATGACCTTGAATATATCCCACCTGAATTTAGAGATCATCTGAAAAACAGATTTGATACATTGAGCACTAAAGACTGAAGGCTGGTAGAGTTGTGGGATGACATCAAGAACATCATACATGAAGAAAACAAAAAGTCATTGAGAAGACAAGAAAGAAGGAAAAAGTCAAAATGGATGTCAAAAGAGACTCTGAAACTTGCTCTCCAGTGTAGAGATGCTAAAGCAAATGGAAGAAATGAAGAGGTCCAAGAGCTGAACAGAAAATTTCAAAGATCAGCTTGAGAAGATAAAGCCAAATATTACAACAAAATGTGCAAAGATCTGCAATCAGAAAACCAAAAAGGAAGAACACAGCATTTCTCAAGCTGGGGGAACTGAAGAAAAAATTCAAGCCTCAACTTTCATTATTGAAAGCTTCTCTGGGCAAATTGTTGAATGATGCAGAAAGCATCAAGAGAAGATCGAAGGAATACACAGAGTCACTGTACCGAAAGGAAATGGTTCATGGTCAACTGTTTCAAGAGATAGCATATGATCAAGAGCCAATGATCCCGAAGGAGGAAGTCCAAGATGCATTGAAGGAATTGGCAAAGAAGAAGGCACCAGGAATTGATGGAATAAAAATTGAAATCTTTCAAGAAAGTGAGGTGGCACAGGAGGCACTCACTCATCTCTGCCAAGAAATTTAGAAGACAACTATCTGTCCAACTGATTGGAAGAGATCCATATTTGTGCCCATTCAGAAGAGAAGTGACCCAACGGAATGCAGAAATCATCTAACAATCTCTTTGATATTCCATGCGAGTAGAGTTCTGCTAAAGGTAATACAGAAAGAGCTAAAATCATACATTGACAGAGAACTTCCGGAGGTTCAAGCCTGATTCAGAAGAGGCCATAGAATGAGGGATATCATTGCTGATGTCCGATGGATCTTGGCTGAAAGCAGAGAATATCAGAAAGATGTTTACCTGTGCTTTACTGACTATGCACAGGCTTTTGATTGTGTGGATCATGACAGGCTATGGACAACATTGTGAAGTATGAGTATTCTGGAAGACCTAATTGTGCTCATGAGGAATCTATATATGGACCAAGAGGCAGTTGTTCGAACAGAACATGGGAACACTGAATGTTTTAAAATTAAGAAAGATGTGTGACAAGGTTGTATTCTTTCACCATACTTATTCAACCTGTATGCTGAGCAAATAATCTGAGAAGCTGGGTTCTATGAAGAAAAACGTGGCATCAGGATTGGAGGAAGACTCTTTAACAACCTGAGATATGCAAATGATACAACCTTGCTTGCTGTAAGTGAAGAGGACTTAAAACGTTTACTGATGAAGATCAAAGAGCACGGCCTTTGGTATGGATTACATCTCATTGTAAAGAAAACAAAAATCCTTATGACTGGACCAATAAACAACATTCTTATCAATGGAGAAAAGATTGAAGTTGCCAAGGACTTCATTCTTCTTGGATCAACAATCAACACTCATGGAAGCAGCAGCCAAGAGATCAAACAAAGTATTGCATTAGGCAAATCTGCTGCACAAGACCTATTTAAAGTGTTGAAGAGCAAAGATGTCAGCTTGAAGACAAGGTGCGCCTGACCCATGTCATGGTATTTTCAGTAACCTCATATGCATGTCAAAGCTGGACTGTGAATAAGGAAGACTGTAGAAGAATTGATGCCTTTCAGTTATGGTGTTGGAGGAGAATATTGTAAGTGCCATGGACTGCTAAAAGAACCAATAGATCCATTTGGAAGAAGTGCAGCCAGAGTGCTCCTTAGAGGCTAAGATGGCCAAACATTTGTCTCTCATACTTTGGACATACTGTCAGGAGGGACCAATCTCTGGAGAAGGATGTCATGTCTGGTAAGGTGGAGGGTCAGAGAAAAAGAGGAAGGCCTCCAATGAGATGGATTGGCCAAGTGGCAGCATCGATGGACTCAAGTGTGGCAACAGTAGTGAGGCTGGCCCAGGATTTAGCAGTGTTTTGTTCAGCTGTGCATACGGTCGCTATGGGTCGGTACTGACTCAATAGCACCTAACAACAACAAGAAGTCTGAGAGTAAAAAAATCTGAAAAGGTGTTAAAAATGCTTGTTTTTAGGCACTGTCGAGTTGATTTTTGACTCAGCACTGACCCACAACGTTTTCTAGACTGTAATCTTTCTTGATTTAATAATTTTAAAAAATAATGTTTTATTGTGCTTTCAGTGAATGTTTACAAAGCATAATTGCTTCCTATTTGCCGATATCCGTACAAGTTGTTCAGTGACAGTAGTCAAATCCATCACATTATGTCAACATGGTGTTCCAGTTGGTCTGTGTCCAGTGCCCCATTATCGTCATAGCTATGTTTTAGAGTCATTGTTGACATTTTGGTCTCATGTAGATTTCTTTTTTTATTGGAGCATCACAGTGTCCTTTACTTTGTGTATCAATCCATTATTTTTCCATTTTGCAGGGGATAAGTCAGGCTCAAGGTTTAAATGGTATCTGAAGTCTATAGTCTTTCAGGGAGTCCTCTAAGTGGTCCAGTAAGTCTGGGGTTTTTTTTAAATTGGAGTTTGGTTTGACGTTTTTGTGCTGTTAGGATGGTCGGTAGTGGTCACCCAGCACTATCGAGTTCTTGGCGCAGGATAGATGAGGCTCTGACGCACATAGGCTCCTTGCCCTATAGACTAGTTTCTTTGCTGAGACTGTGGTTACCTTCTTTCTCTATTGCTCCTGACAATTAAAAACCAATAATTGTGTCTTAAGATGGTTGCTTGTAAACTTTTAATTCCCTAGATATTATTTCCCTCCAGGAGGCAGAACTTGAACTTTGTGAACTATACCAGTTATTGACTTGTTCCCTGAGACTAAGATCCTAACTGTGTCTTCAAACCCAGAAAACCAGTCTCACAAAGTATTTGGATATGTCACAGAAGTAACTGTAATCGTCTTCTGTTAATATAGGTGCCCACACATATGTACACATACATACAGCTGTACTACTCTCTGTGCATACTACTGTACACACCTGGGCCTGTGCATACACACACATGCCTATGCACACATGTATGACCATACACTCAGTGTTGGTTATCATTTGTGGTATTGGAGACTGTAATATTTACGGAAGTACATCATCGGGTCTTTCTCCCCTGGAATCACTGCATAGTTCAAACCACTAATATTTTCATTAGCAACTAAGCACTTAACCAGGGCTCCTTTTATGGACACTAGTTTCCAAATCTAAATACAGTTGAAACCGCATTTAAAGAAAAATATCACCTCTGTCATCTGTGTTTCTGTATATCTCCTCCCACTTAAATAAATGTGTCACCTTAAAAATATTCATAGCTTGAAATGTATAGGAAAGATTGAATTTTTGTGAAATTCTTTATTTTGATTTTTAATCTTATTTGGATGTATTATATAGCTAAAACCAGGGTCATCAATTACTCAAATAACTTACTTGGTGTTTGCAACACCTTTATTATCGTGGTGATGGTGGTTATGTGTTGTGGAGTCAGTTCTGACTCATAGCGACCCTGTGCAGGGTTTCTGAGGCTGTAAATCTTTACAGGAGCAGAAAGCCTCATCTTTCTCCCGCAGAATAGCTGGTAGTTTCAAACTGCCGACCCTAAAGTTAGCAGCCTGATATGTAACCACTACGCTACCAGAGCTCCTTACCTTTATTATTGATTAAATAAAATAAAAGGTCACTTTGTTTGTTGTTGTTAGGTGCTGTAAAGTTGGTTCCCACAACCAAACAAAACACTGCCTGGTCCTGCCCCATCCTCTAATTGTAATGTTTGAGCCCATTCTTGTAGCCTCTATGTTAGTACACTTCATTGAGGCTCTTGCTCTTTTTTATTGACCCTCAAATGCCATCTTCCCGAGACTGGTCAATCTTGAGAACATATCCAAAGTACATGAAACAAGTCTCATCATCATCGCTTCAGAACAGTATTGTGGCTGTACTCCTTCCAAGAGTTCTGTTTCTTCTTCTGCCAGTTCGTGGTACATTCCGTCTTCTCCAAACACCACAGATTTATGAGTTTTGCATTGAGTTTCTTCTGCGCAACTTGTGTTTTGTTTTTACAACCAAGTTATTTTATTACAAGATACTAATAATTAAACTTCTGTTTGATGTTTGTGAGAGTCTTGGTGACGTAGTGAGTAGCACATTGGGTTACTAGCAGCAAGGTCAACAGTTCAAATCCACCAGCTGTTCCCAGGGAGAAAGAGGAAGCTTCCTGCTCCCATAAAGATTTACAGCCTCAAAAACCCTACATTACATAGGGTAGCTTTGTGTTGGAACTGACTCGGCGGCACATATCAGCAACAACAACGTGGTGTTTGGAGTCAAATAAATGAGGGAAAAATGCATTCGTATATGTAAAGTTTACTTCATTATGGAAACTGGCCTGTTATCAGCTGCTGTATATTGTATGTTCTCCATTTTATGAAAAATACTTCACTGTTGGCTGCTAATCTCTTAAATGAAACTAATTAATATATCTTCTCTAAATTTCAGGTTCTTCACTTATGGTAATTTCCAGCTAGAAAAACACCTGAGACAAATTGATGAAGAAGCTTTGAGCAAATTTCAAAAAATCGAACCAAGTACCTCAGTGCCAGCTCAGAAGCCTTGGGATAAGCCTGTAGGTCTATACAATCAATAATTTTGTTTGAAACTATACTGTTAAATATATCAGACTTGGACTTTGTATTAATAATATGATTTTAATACAGTATGGGTACTGTACAAGGTATTTAAGAGCTTTTCAAGCCTGTGGAATGATTATTTGTTTAAAAAGAAAGCTAATATAATGGAAAGCATCTTTTGGACCTGTTCCCATATCCAGATAAAAATCAGTTTAAAGCTGTTTTGGATCGTCATTTAAAAAGACCGAATGCTTTTTTTAAATAAACTGTATTATTTTACAGAGGGAATACCAAATAACATGCGGCCCGGATTCACTTGCCACAAATTCTTCTAAGCAGACAACTGTGAGTGTCAGCTATCTCTTACCAGAGTAAGTATCAGTTGTAAACACAGCAGTAGAACACTAAGCAGGTTAGAATATTAAGTAAGAAGTGAATTCTGCAATCAAGTTTAAATTAATGTGTAGTTAGAAATAAGCGTTGAGCAGGTTTTCATGGTAGAAAATAAAATCAAGAAAGATTTGTGACAACATCTGAGAGGGTTCTGGGGGAAAATTACGTTTGGTAGCAGTCCAGAAGAAAACCAGTATACTTCCTTCTGTATTTTAAAGCTTCCCATACCATCTAAGGAGAGCTGACTTAAGTTAAAGCAGAAGGGTTGTTAACATTTTGGGGTTCACTGAACCTTTTGAGCATGAGGAGAATACTATGATATATTCACATCAGAAAAACATCAGGTATAACAAAACTGTGTAATTCTAGGGATCTCATGTACAAAATATTAAGAAAGGAAGGCTGTTACCTTAGCTATAGCATTGTTTGTTCTGTCTGCCATTTAGTGCAAATCCCTTAATCCCATCTCAGTTTCTTACTCACTTTATGAAGTTGATTTTGTAATTGTTATAGATAAATGGTGATAATAAATTAAAGTACTTGACAAACTCATGTGGTAGGTATTAGGTACTCTGTTAAATCAATATTATAATTTGGTGTCATTAAGATTAGAAAAAATCACAGTATATCAGTGTTTCATAAGGTCAAAGAATAATCGTTGTACTTGACGTGTGTAATAATTAAAATGAAGGTTGAAATGCAAGAGTATTGTAGAACTTCAGCTTCTTTGGAAGTGATTGTGAACTTACTGGTGATTATTATAAGGACCATCCATTTTTCTTTTTATTCTTTCCTGCCCCTCTCTACCCCTTTTAAATGAAGAATCACTGATATATTTGAAGCTTTCACACTAAATCTTTTGTCTTCACTCTTGATTGGCGGACCCAACTCTCCCTTTTACAAAGCCTTAATTGAATCTGGACTCGGCACAGACTTTTCTCCTGATGTTGGGTAAGTTTTGTTGTTAGGTGCAGTCAGCAGAGCTCAACTACTTATTTCGTCTCCAGGGAATGCTCCTTAATATTAGGAACGAGTTTTGTTGTTTTGTTTTGTTTCTGAAGTTTTTATTGTGTATTGAGTGAAGGTTAGCAGGCAGATTCATTAGCTTTTCCCTTAAGCAATCATATGTTTTGCTTCATCTCAATGACTACAATTCCCTCCCTGCAACGACAGTTATCCTTCCTCCTCTCTGTGGCTTCCCTTTTACATCTTATTTTTCACAAATCTGCAAAGCAAAAATTATTTGTACACATACAAAACAAAAACACATATTCATTTGAATGTTCAAAAGACACATTTTTCAATCTTGTGTTCTGCCCACAGGCACAGTCTTGCTCATTCCATGGACCTAGAGTCTGCAATTGCTCTAGGTCTCCATGCTGTTGCCTCTGCTACTGTCTCTGCCATCACTTCTCCTCTAGGTAGGGTCCGGGAAGGAGTTTTATTGGCTGTCACAGTAGCAGGGGGTGGAAGGTGCTAACCACCCTGCACTTCAAAGGCCCACACCTCTCCTAGAACGCAAAACTCATTAGATTGGGGTTCAGGGTGAAGTTATTTATATAACCTGGAAGGAGACATTTAGCAAAAGAAATGCAAACAAACAAAACACAAAAATGAGAGCTTTCCTAAGATCGATTTCTGCCTGTTTTGAAAGGATTCTAAATATCCTTTGAAATCTTAAGATTCTGTAAAACTCAATAGATCTCTTTGTTTTCTACGTTTATTTTGCTGTAAGTGTAAGGTTTGTGTAGACTTTTAGAAATGAGAATGGGACATAATATACATGTAATGTGAAAATATGAGAATACTGTTTGGTTTTTCTAGTGGAGGATTTGAAAATTCAAGTTCAAAGTTTTAGTCTGTAGCCTATTTGATGAAAGTATATGACTTCTAATACATCGTCTTCTATTTTTTTACTCTAGATATAATGGCAGTACAAGGGAGGCCTTCTTCAGTGTAGGCCTACAAGGGATTTCAGAGAAAGATATTCAGACAGTTAAAAACATTATTGATAGGACATTTGATGAGGTCATTGAGTAAGTATGCCTTATTTGCAGTGATTTACTTTCATGCTTAATTCATGAATGCTCTATGATAAAGTGCATGATCCTTCTCAAGTTTATAGTCTTTTCTTTATGTAATAAATAAAGCATATTTTACTTCATTGTTAATTATTTTAAATATTTGCTACCTTGCATTCCTAAAATACTTCTTTTCAACATCTCAAGTTCTTGATTTTGTTCTACAGAAAAGGATTTGAAGATGACCAAATTGAAGCTTTACTTCATAAAACTGAAATCCAATTGAAACATCAGTCTACCAGCTTTGGACTCATGTTGACATCAGTATGTTGTGACTTCTCAACTGGCTCCTTTTTTAAAAAAAACTTTTAAAATGATTGGTTCTTCACAACACTGAAAAAAATTGAGGGGGCTTCAAAAATGTATGGTAAAATTTCATCCAATTCCATTTTCACAAACTTTTTGAAGCCCCATCATACAGACTGACATGGGTATCCCTTCCATTTGGACTGTTGAGCATGTATTTTTCAGAAAGTTATACAGCAGTTTCAGAGCTGATGTAAATTTGCTTTCTTAATTTAGCTTTTATAATATCCAGCCTGTTTTTTTAATTACATAGTCATTGTCTTTTTACTAGTTTATTGGCTTTCTGATGATAGCTTATGTTTTTTATGTGAAATAGATTTAAGTAGAATACTGATAAGGGGTAGAAATTTATGATAATTGGTCCTCTTTTAGAAATTATTATTTTGTTTAGAAATTAATATTCCCCCAAATAATTTAAACTTATGCTATTCATTTTATTAGAAAAGTTGTGTTTACGTGAGCATAATATCTGTTCTTCTTGCCAAATAATGGCTCAGTTTTTGTTATAAACAATCACTTTAGGATGCTTTTAAATATAGAATCTAAGATCTTAATACAGTGTAAATAAAGCCTTTCAGATTTTCTGGGGTAGTGTAACATTTGTAGTATAATATGCATTGTGAATTTAGAATTTTTCTCCTAGTTCATAGCTTCTTGCTGGAATCATGATGGGGACCCTGTGGAACTCTTGAAATTAGGAAATCAAATGGCTCAATTCCGGGAGTGCCTTAAGGAAAACCCAAAATTTTTGCAAGAAAAAGTAAAACGATATTTCAAGGTAAGCAAATTGAAGAATTTATGTCTATAATAGTGAAGTTGGATTTTATAATAAACAAAGGAACATAGGAACATAATCTGTATTTCTGCTAATGAATAGGTGATATAGTTTCTTAATTATTAATTAAAATTTAGATGCTTATATGAACTTTAAGGATCTCTGGTAGCGTAGTGGTTATGAATCGGGCTGGGAACTGCAAGGTCAGCAGTTCGAAACTATCAGCTGTTCCGTGGGAGAAAGATGAGGCTTTCTGCTTCCTTAAAGATTTACAGCCTCGGAAACCCTGTACAGGGTCGCTATGAGTCGGAACCGACTCCACTGTGCACATAACAACAATATAAACTTTAAGGAACCCAGGTGGCACTGTAGGGTAAGTACTAGACTGCTAACCACAAGGGGGACATTTCACACCTACCATCCAATTTGCGGAAAAATTTCGGGGCTGTCTGTTTCTTTAATGATGTACTGTCATGGAAATCCTCTGTAGGATCGCTCTGAGTTGGAATCAATTTGATGGCAGTGGGTTTGGTTTGATTTTTGGTTTTAGATTAACTTTGAAAAATTCTGTTTTTTAGATTGTAATGCAAGGCTTTTATATATATATGAATACGTATGCTTTTAAATTTAGGAATGCATGCATCTACATGTAGATGTACTAATAAAACATTTGCCTGTATTTTTGTTCTTTTTAAAAAAACAGATTATTTAAAATATAAGAACAGTGACTATCCTGGTTAATTTTCTTTAATGGAAATCTTTTGATGTTTGCTTGCTTGTTTTCCTAGATTTCTAGGCATTTGTATTTACTGTGACTTTAGAATGAAGTTACTGTGATGGGTAGGGTTAATATCTGTATTAAAACACAACTCTGTTGTAATACAGGCCATTGTTTTAGACACAGAACACAATTTGATGTGCAATTTCTCATGTTATTTGACATAAAATTTTTGTATACTCTAATTCTCCCACCTCTTTGTAGTCTTACAAAGGAGCTTTTTTTGTGTTCTGTAAATTATTGACATAAATAAGAGAAGCAAGCTAAGTCTTATAACACCTTTAGTTATAGTAGATTAACATTTAGTTTGTCTTGACATTTAATAAATTCTAACCTTTGATGTTAATCATTATAATGAAGATAAGATAAAAATAGTTATTCTGTTATATTAAATTTACACTAAAATCAAAGACTTATAGTGTTAAAAAGTGCAGTTTTCTTTTCCAACCAAAGTGTAAAAAACTTTTTGAATATTCATGTTTTTATGATGAAGATATGTTGTTTTTAAGTGCCATTGAGTCGTTTCTAACTCACAGTGACCCTGCATAGGGTTCTGAGGCTGTAAAGCTCTGTGGGATTGGAAAGCCTCATCTTTCTCCCATGGAGCGGCTGGTGGGCTCAAACTACTGACCTTGCTGTTCAAAGCCCAGTGATTATCTTACAAGGCTGCCACACTCAGTTAACACATAATGACCATAGTAATGGTATCATCAGGGGGCTTCGTTTATGGAAAAATGGAATTTTTTTTGAAGCCCCTCTTGTAATACTAGTAATAACGTAAGAGTTATGTACTTACTATGTGCTATACATGGCTCTCTAGGAGCTCTGGTAGTGTAGTGGTTACGAATCGGGCTGCAAACCTCAGGGTCAGCAGTTCAAAACTACCAGCTGTTCCGCGGGAGAAAGATGAGGCTTTCTGCTCCTGTAAAGATATACAGCCTCGGAAGCCCTGTACAGGGTCGCTATGAGTCGGAACCGACTCCACGGCACATAACAACAACAGCAACAACATACATGGCTCTCTAACCATATGTGTCTTAGATAATTTCCTCTATAAAACAACACTTTGAGGAGAACTTTTTATTATCACCATTTCAAAACTGGGTAAATGGAACTACAGAACCAAGAATACAGTGGCAGAGTCTGGTTCAATATAATAAGCCTTACTAACTTAATTACTTTAACTTTTTATTTTTATTTGTTGCAGAATAACCAACATAAAATGACTTTATCAATGAGACCAGATGACAAGTATTACGAGAAGCAAACACAAATGGAAACAGAAAAACTGAAGCAAAAGGTCAATTCTCTTTCCCCAAAAGATAAGGAACAGATATATGAAAAAGGTTAGATATTTTGTTTTGTACTTAGTAATTAAGAATATAGCCTTGTAAGGTGACAACCTGGCCTTATCTCAAACCCAGTGAACTGATTTAATAGTCAGAGGCAGGTAATTATTTCAATTAACAAATATTTATTGGGCATCTATAATGTTCCATCCTTACTCTCAGAAAATTTGTACATTTGTTTGAAAGGTAAGGAGGAAATACTTGAAAAGAAGTTGATTTATAAGATTGATAGATTTTGTAAATTTTAGGAATTTTTTTATTTACCATAAGTTATTATATGCCAGTAAAATTTGTGTCATGTTTTAAAATATAACTATTGTCGAATGAATAACATAGACTGTATTAGCTATGAGTTTAGAAAGAAGACAGGTCAGTTCAATATATAGAATTAGAAACTCTCACTGAACTAAATAAAGGACTTTTGCTGGTTATGAAGCAAAACTACATGATGTATAGGTAGACCTGGTTAAGACAAAGAAATTGTACAGTGTGCTTCTTGTTCAGAGGATGATGAATAGATAGCTGTGTACGAAATAAAGTGTTTGGGATGGATGAAGTCAAGAATGAAGAATTGTGGAGGGCTTTCACCTAAGACTGCTGTGTATGCACTTCATGTATTAAGCTTTGAGAAGTTGTGGAAAATGGTGGTACAATTCAGGATAATTTGAAGGCAAAAGAGAAAATCGTCAAAGTCTAGTAGAAGCCTAAGCATAACATGAAGAAGACATACGCTACGATGGCTATGCTGGGAGTACAGAGAAAAGTACAGATTTAGGAGACCTTGTAAATATTTAAAGACTTAATTGAAGTCAGGAAAGGGAAATGAAACAGCCCAATTTAAAAATGGACAAAAGATTTTAACAGATACTTAAGAAGATACACAAATGGCAAAACAAGCATGTAAATTGTTATTTATGTGGGGGAATGCCTTCATTCATAGAACAATGCATCACTATTTAATTGGAAATACAAATTAAAACTAATGATTACAATTCTATACCCACTAGACTGGCTAAAGTTTATTGTAAAAAACATGAACTATTGCCAGTACAAAATGTTGCCAGTGATGTGAAGCAAGTGGAATTCTCATAACTGGATGATGAAAAGTAAAATGGCATAACCACTAAAAATTGTAAAATCTGTTTTATAATTTTTTATACTGTATATTTAAGAGAACTGAAAACTTACATAAAACCTGAAAGAACTTAAATTTCCATCACCTGGTTAACAAACAAATACATCCAACAATATGGATGAATATCAAGAGCTAGGTGAAATAAATCAGTTACAAAAAAATACATGTATATCAAATGAGTCCATTCATAGGAAATCCTAAAAATGGCAAAAGTATAATGACAAAAAGCAGAGCAATAATTGTTAGAAGCCAGAAGTTTGGACAGGAGATTGTCTTGTATAACGGCATGAGAGAAGTTTTCGGAATGACGAAAATGTTTCATTTCATGATTATCGTGATTACATAACTTTATACATTTATCAAAATGCACTGAAATTTATCGTCAGTAAGAAATTACAAAATTTAATAAAAAATTAATAGGTTTTATTGTGTGTAATTTATGCCTGCATAAAGCCTGTTAAAATATATATACGGTACACTATCATGTTTGGAAGGAGCCTCTGGTAGTGTAGTGGTTACGAATCAGGCTGCGAATCACAAGGTCAGCAGTTCGAAACTACCAGCTGTTCCATGGGAGAAAGATGAGACTTTCTGCTCCCATAAAGATTTACAGCTTCGGAAACCTTGTACTGGGTCACTATGCGTCGGAACCGACTCCATGGTACTTAACAACAACAACATCGTGTTTGGGGAGGAGGAGATATATATATATATATATACATATATATATATATACACACTCATATGTATACATGTGTATATATTTCTTTCCAAAGTATGAAAATTTGGCTGAAGTTATATGAGGAATCATGCTGTTAAGTACTGTGCAGTCGGTTCTGACTCATAGTGATCCTGCACAGGGTTTCCGAAACTGTAAATCTTTATGGGAGCAGGATGCTTCATCTTTCCCTCGCGGAACCGATGGTAGTTTTGAACTGCTGACCTTGAGGTTGGCAGCCCGACTCATAAACCACTACACTACCAGAGCTCCTTGAGGAATCATAAGGTTATCAAAAGGAGTTGACTTTAGGTGGAAAATAAGTAATCCCATTTTGATCATACTAAGATCGAGGTGTCTTAAAAAAACCAAACTGCCATCCAGTCAATTTTAACTCATAGAGATCCTTTGTATAGGATATTTCTAAGCTCTAAATCTTTACAAGAACACAAAACCTTCCCTTTACCTACCTCCTGCAAAGTAAGTAGTTGGTGAGTTTGGACTGGCCAGCCTTTCATTTAGCAGTCTAGTACTTACTCTACAGTGCCACCAGGGCTCTTTTGATGTGTATAATAAAGGCAAAATTATTGTTAATCTATATTCTTAATCTTTTTACTAGTGAATTTTTGCTGAAACATACAACTATTTTAAGCTGTTTAGTAATCATGAAATACTCTATACATACTTGTCTTTTGTTAGTGTCCCATGACATGTTTCAATTTCTCATTTATTAAAAACCATCTATAAGTACACAGGTAGTCCCATGCCTAAGCAACAGCATGTATGTTTCCTAAATTATTACAGATTCATAGTTTGGCCTCTTAGCGTGCTGATTTAAAAATACCTTATATATTTCAAAACAAACCATTATGTTAATGAATGATGACTCATTTTACAAAAGCATGTTTTGACCTTACAGATTCACTGGAGTTCCTTTAAAGAAGGACATAATACTAGTGCATTTAAGGATTATATCAGATCAGTAAATCCTCAAGTATGACTTCTGTGTTTGGAATCTTTCTGCATTAAAGCCCAGTCTATAGGTAGACATGAATGGTGAATTAGATATATATGTTTTACATTTAAAGAGTCCACAATCATTTTGGTTAATTGTAATATGTTCAGTATTATGAAGGGATATAACCTCGACCATCATCAGGGAGCTTGTGATCTGGTGAAAGAAAAAGAGAAAATTGTTAGACTTTTTATACAGAGTACATTTAAACCAGGAGCAGTTGTTTAAGAGCTGAATGTATGAAAGGAGATGAACCCTTAAGAACCAGTAACACTGGACAGGTGAAGGGGCAAGAAAAGACTTTTTCAGGTCAAGAATATGTAGTGGAAGTGAAGAAACACAGACAACAAATAAATGTCTTGAGTGACATGGAGTCAAGAAACTCAGGCTGATTAGGGAGATAAAGACCAAATAAGGGAAGGCCTTTAAAGTCAGTAGGTTTGAACTTAATGCTGTGGAAAGTTCATTTAATAAGGATTGTCTTGTGACAGTTTTATATCCTGGATTTTTTTTTTTTCCCATTTGCAGACTTTTTGACCTCTGAAACCTTGATACCTGATTTTGACCTCAGTTGCTTGTATTCCTCCAAATTCCTGTTGTTTCCCAGTCTGTTACTCAGTTCCTCTACATCGTATTCAACGCCCACTCGCTTTCCAGTGTGTCTGGTCTCCTTTCCCTCTGTTTTCTCCATTGAGCTCTCCTTTGTAAAATCCCAGCCTTTCATCAGTTCAGCCATCCATATGAGCAGTTTATAATCTGTTCCATAATCAGACCCTTGCCATGTTTTAGCTGCTGATACTGAACTTCTCCATGGTCTTTTCCCACAGATGTAGTCAATATGATTCCTCTGTAGTTCAGCTGGTAGAGTCCATGTGTATAGTTCATTGCCTTTTAGGCTGTTGCAAAAAGGTATTTGCAATATAAATAAGTCATTGGTCTTGCAAAAGTCAGTCATGCAATCTGCAGCATCATTTCTATCACCAAGGCCGTATTTTCCAACTACTAACTCTTCCTCTTTGTTTCCAACTGTCACATTCCAATCAGCATTAATTATCAGTGCATCTTGATTGCAGGTTGGATCAGTTACAAACTGAAGAAGTTGGTGGTTGCTGTTGTGTGCTGTCAGATTGGTTCTGACTCAAAACAGTCCTGTACAGGGTTTTCTGAGGAGCTGTCCAATGCTTATCCGACAGGTGGCGGCTGTTTGTAAGTGCTGCTGGTCAGTTCCGTCTCATAGCAACCCTGTATAGGGGAGCAGCTGGTGTGTTTGAACTACCGACCTTCCGGTTAGCTGTTCAGTGCTTACCTCAAACTGCCACACCAGTAGAATTCTTCATTTTCATCATCACTGGCTTTGGTAGTTGGCTTGTAAATTTGAATAAAGCGGCGTTCATTGGCCTTTGTTCCAGGCATGTGGATATTTTCCTATTACACACACCATTGTACTTCGTGATATCTCATGAAATATTGTTTTTGATGATAAATGTGACATAATTCCTCTTCAATTTGACATTTCCAGAATAGTAAACTATATGATTGTCTGATTCCAAATGGCCCGCATCAGTACATTTCAGCTGACAGAATGTTTAGGGTATCGATCTTTATGCATTCTATTTCATTTCTGACAACTTAGAATTTTTTAAGTTGTACCCCATCAAGAAATTATACTCATTATACTCTGGAAATTTTGTGTAGTGGTTACGAATCTGGCTGCTAACCTCAAGGTCAGCAGTTCAAAACTACCAGCTGTTCCATGGGAGAAAGATGAGGCTTTCTGCTCCTGTAAAGATTTGTAGCTTCAGAAACCCTAGGCAGGGTCACTATGAGTCAGAACCGACTCCACGGTACTTAACAACAACAACATAGCATTATGGTCCATTCTAATTTGAGGTGGTAGCTCTTCTCCAGTCATATTTTGAGTTTCTTCCTGCCTGAGGGGCACGCTTTCATGCTGTTTTCATCTTCTGGCGCTCTAACAATGTTCCACTGCTCTTCATAAGATTTTCAGTGGATAACTTCAGAAGTAGCCTGCCTTTCCTCCTTCCTACTCAAAGTCTAGAATCTCAGCTGAAACCTGTCCACCATGGATGACCCTACTGGTATGTAAAATATCAGTGGTATACCTTCCAGCATCTCACCAACACACACTCCACAGTAGTGTGACAGACAGACAGATGAATCTTCAGATGGGATATTCTCATGGATGATTAATCATTTGGGGTTTGGGGCAGGGAGAAATACCAGAGCTACCTGTGGGTAAAGGTGAGTGGCCTAGGAAGTTTGTGGAAGAATGAAGAGTATGTCCAAATGGCAGGAGTCTCACACAAGTTGCTTACATGAGCCTGGAGGAGAAAAGGTGGTGTTGAATTAAAAAAACCTGTCTCCTCCCTCTTCTGAGCTATGTGAATTATAAAAAGAAACAGCCTCCACCTAAAAGTGCTATGCTGTTGTTAAGTGCCATTGTGTCAATTCTGACCCATAGCAACCCTGTATAGGGTTTCCAAGGAGCAGCTAGTGAGCTTGAACTGCGGACCTTGCAGTTCAAACAACTTTGCAGTCTAGCACATTAACCCACAGTGCCACACCAGGATTCCAAAAGTGCTATAGAGTACGTAATATCTTTTATCTTAAGACCAAGACATATGGGACCACAGTTAGTTGGTCATGGAAATAGCTGTTTCAGAATGTGCGCCTGAAAAGTCAGAAGTAAGAGAATTATTTTGAGTTGTACTTTCCTAGGGGCACAACAGTAGGTAGCAAATGTATTGCATGAGATACTTGCTGTCCATGAACTCTAGTCACTTGATACTCTGGATTTCCATCTCTAAATGAACAGTTATTTGATAGCATGTTCTCAAGGAACTGTTGTGATAGCAACTTTAAAAAGGTAGAAATGGAACATTAATAAAGCTAACTTGCATCCTTTTAAGTTAGATATATTAGACTCTATGAGTAGTCTATCGTGAGATTGAGTTACATTACTAAGTTGATACAGTGTCGCCTGTGAGTCATGTTTATGAAAGGGTGCAACTTTATATAAAGCTAAGTCAGGAAGTATGTGGGGGAAATCCCATTATGTTTTAATTATATTTTTTATGAACTTTTTGAAGCCCTATTGTATTTGACAGAATTTTAAACTATGAAGGTTTTTCACATATACCATTCCATTTTATCCTTTAAAAAAAATTACGAGAAACTTTTGGATTCTCTCTTTCACAGACTCTCTAATTCTCTGGAATAATTCCATGAAAGAGGAGTCCTTATCTCTGATTATATATGACTATAATCCTATGGTCATATGAATACAATCATAAAAATATAATCAGGCCCCAAAAATGTAATTTTAATTATTGCTATAATTTTTGAAATGTATATGATTATTAACACATTTTGCTGGGATGAATGAAAATAAAATTGGCGAAAACAAGTGTAAAAGTCAGCAAAAATGATTTGAGAATCCTAAAGTATATTACAAATTTGATGAGGTGATAATGGAAATTTGCTTAAGTAAATCTCTGCTCTCTAGCATGATTTCTTTTAAATAATTGAAAATAAGAATTGGAAAAAGTACTACCTACTAAGCCAGTTATGCTTCTAAATCATGCATTTGGAAACGGCAGATGCCTTAGAATGTTTATGCTGATAATACGCGCCTACCAGTTGGTAAAGAGTTGCTATTGTGGTGTGGCACTGTGGGTTAATGTGCTGGATTGCAAAGTCGGTTTGAACTGCAAGGTTGGTGGTTCAAGCTCACCAGCTGCTCCTTGGAAACCCTATACAGGGTCGCTCTGGGTTGGAACCGACTCGACAGCACTTTACAACAACAACAACAATAATGCAGCACTGTAGGATAAGCCCTGGACCACAGTGTCAGTTTGAATTACAAGGTCGGAGGTTCAAACTCACCAGTGGCTCCTTGGAAATTACTATGAATCCGAACTAACTCGTTGTCACTTAACAACAACGACAATACGGCATAGGAGATAAGTTTCATAAAACCTCTTAATTACCGTCCTGACTGTACATTGCCCTGTTTCCTTTTCTTTTTTTTAGGTTTAGAATTAAGAACTCAGCAAAGTAAGCCTCAAGATGCCTCATGTCTACCAGCTTTAAAAGTTTCGGATATCGAGCCTACCATACCTTTTACTGAGGTGGATGTAGCATTGTCAGGTCAGTGCAAATACTGTTATTTTTGTGGGTACACATCTTCTTTAGAGAACCCTAGTGTTACAGTGGTTACATTCTCAGCTAGTAACTGAAAGATTGATGGTTCAAACCTGCCAGCAGTTCCATGGGAGAAAGATGTGATAATCTTCTCCCATAAGGCAGACAGCCTAGAGAATGGAATGGTTCTTCTCTGTCCTGTAGAGTCATTGTGAGTTGAAATCGACTTGACTTGTTATGGGTTTAGTATCCATAGAGTCCTACAAGGGTAAGTCAAAAAGTAGGGTTACTAGGCTTCTGATTCATACAGGCATGGTTTTGTTGCAAATAAAATACATTTCAACATATCTCTGTGATCCGTGGATAGCTACAAAGAAGTTCACTCAGTTATATACTTGTCTTAGTCTCCTTAGGGTGCCTTCAAAAAAGAGCCAATCAAAACAGTGACTTCTGAGGCCATTTGCTGGGCCAGTTAAATTCCAGGCAGAAAGGTCAGCTTGGAGGGTTACAGTGGCTGTTATTTGAGATTCCAAAGAGGTAATCTTAATGTATTTTGTCAAAGGACACAGAACAATAATGAGGGCTTGTTACGAAGAAGTTTCAAGAAAATTTAAAACTGCGTTGGTGAGAAAGAAAGCCAGAAGAACACAGCACTGAGGAATTTTTCCCCATCAGAACAGTGCACCTATTCTTTCTTCTAGGGAATCAATAGCTGTTCTATGAGAATTTCCTTGGGGAACCTTACCCCATTTAACCAACAGCCCTCATCTACCCATTTAGACTTCTTTTTGTTCTCAGAATTCATAGAACATTTAAAAGGATCATGATTTGAGTTCTTAGAGGATGCCCAAACTCCTGTTATGATGTGGTGTAAATGGAAGAGCCTTTTTGAAATGACCTACATGGGCCTGACCATATGGAATACACAGCAATCAAATTAACTACATTTGTGGGAAAAGGGGGTAAGAAGTTGACTAGCATCAGGAAAAACCAGGTCAGGAATCAACTGTGGACCAGACTATCAACTGCTCATAGGCAAGCTCAGGTTGAAGCTGAAGAAAAAATTAAAACAAATCCATGAGATCCAAAATATGACCTTGACTATATCCCACATGAATTGAGAGCATCCAAAAAACAGATTTGATGTGCATTTGACATTAATGACCAAAACCCAGAAGAGTTATGGGATGACATCAAGAACATCATACACGGAGAAAGCAAAAGGTCATTAAAAAGACAAGAAAGAAAGACAAAATGGATGTCAGAAGAGACACTGAAACTTGCTCATGAACATAGAGAAGCTAAAGCAAATGAAAGAAATGAGAAGTAAAAGAGCTGAGCAGAAAATTTCAAAGGGCAGTCCTAGAAGACAAAGTCAAGTATTGTAATGAAATGTGCAAAGACCTAGAGTTAGAAAACCACAAGGGAAGATTGCACTCAGCATTTCTCAAGCTGAAAGAACTGAAGAAAGCAATTCATGCTTCAGACAAATTATCAGAAGGGACCAGCCCTTAGTGCAGGACATCGTGCTTAGTAAAGCGGGGAGTCAGTCAGCACAAAAGAGGAAGACGCCCCCCAGGAGATGGATTGGCACAGTGGCAGCAGCAGTGGGCTCAAAGGTAACATTTGTGAGGATGGTACATGACCAGGAAGTGTTTTGTTTTGTATTGGGTCGCTATGAGTTGGAAATGACAAGATAACACCTAACATCAATGGACAAAATATTAAATGATGAAGAAACCCATCAAAATAAGTTGGAATACACAGAGTCACTGTACCAAAAGAATTGATCTGTGTCTATCCATTTCAAGAGGTAGCATGTAATCAAGAACCAATGGTACTGAAGGAATAAGTCTTAAAATACACCAAAGGCATTAGTGAAAACAAGTCTCCAAGATATGACAGAATGCAAATTGAAATATTTTAACAAAGTGATGTAGCACTCATTCTATTCAAAGAAATTTGGAATACAGCCATCTGGCCAAAGAAAGATGACCCAAAGAAATGTTGAAATCCTTGAATAATATTATTAATATTACATGTAAGTATAATTTTGCTGATGATAATTCAGAAATGATTGCAGCAGTACATCAACCACAGGGAGCTGCCAGAAATTCAGGCTGGCTTCTGAAGAGGACAGAACTAGGGATCTCATTGTTGATGTCAGATGGATCTTGACTGGATGCAGAGAATACTAGAAAGTTGTTTACTCATGCTTTATTGACTATATAAAGGCTTTTGACTAAGTGAGTCATAACAAATTATAGATCACATTGCAAAGATTGGGTGTTCCAGAACACTTAATTTGCTCATGAGGAATCTGTACATAGACCATGCATCAGTCATTAGTATGAAACAAGAGGATAGTGAATGGTTTAAAATCAGGGAAGTTGTGCACCAGTGTCCTGTTCTTACACCATACTTATTTAGTCTGTATACTGAGCAAATAACATGAGAATCTGGATTATTTAAAGAACATGGTATCAGGATTGTATTAAAGAATCTTTAACAACCTGTGATGTGCAGATGGTATAAGTTTGTATCTGGAATCAAAGAGGACTTAAAGCACTTACTGATGAAGATCATAGACTATAGTTTTCAGTATGATTGAACCTCAAGGTAAAGAAAACAAAAATTCTGGACCCGTAAATAACATCATGATGAATGGAGGAAAGATTAAAATTGTCAAAGATTGAATTTTGCTTGCATCCACAATCAACACTCCTGGAAACAGCAGTCAAGAAATCAAATGACAGGTTGCATTATGCAAGTCTGCTAGAAAAGACCACATTAAAGTGTACAAGAGTAAAGATGTCAGTTTTAAGACTAAGGTGTGCCTGACCCAAGCCATGGTATTTTCATTTGCTTCATATACATGTGAAAGTTGGGTTAGGGTAGAAGAATCGATATTTTGAGTTACAGTGTTGAAGAAGAATATTAAAAGTACCATGAACTGCCAAAAGAACAAATACATCTGTCTAGGAATACTACTTGGGAAGCCAGGATGACCAGACTTAATCTCTCTAACCTTGGACATGTTATCAGGAGGGACGCCAGGCTTGATAAAATAGAGGGTCCGTGAGAAAATGGAAGACCCCAATGAAATGGATTGACACAGTGGCAGAAACAATAGGGTCAGACCTAACAACAGTGGTGAGGATGGTGCAGGAAGTGTTTTGTTCTGTTGTGCATAGGGTCATTGTGAATCAGAACCGACTTGACAATACCTAACAACAACAGTAACAACAAATGGAATAGCACAGAATTTTGCAGGCTATGTTAGAAATTGTAACCATCAACCTTCAGAAGCGTATAGAGGTAGATGGTGACTATGTTGAGAAACAGTAGCTTCACATTTTGATTTTTTGGTTTGTAAAGGCTTCTGTGATTTTGTAGCAGTACATTTTGGCTTACCTCATATTTCGATGCAGCATTTAAATGTCCCTATTAAGGACTTGCGGTGTGGTGTTGTAAGATTAGTACTGGACCTCAAATGATTTGGTTTGAACCACAAGGTTGAAGGTTCAAGCTCATCAGCTGCTCCTCAGAAACTTTATACAGGGTTACTATGATTTGGAACTATCTCAACAGTTTTTAACAACAACAACATTAACTTACAGGTATTGGTATTCACATTTCGTGTAAGTTATTTTTATCACTCAGTATCAGATGCTTTTCTACTTAGTAAGAGTCTTGTGTTTAAATTTTTGTGAGTGGATTTGATACTATTTTGTACTCCACTGCTTCTCGAGTTAGATGAGGATTTGAATTGTGCTGCACCTGTATCGTTAAGGAGTGCTGATGGCACTGTGAGTTAAGTGTTGTTCTGTTAAGGAGTGCTGATGGCGCTGTGAGTTAACTGTTGTTCTGTTAA